AAGAATCAAGTGGGGGTTGGGCTGGATAGGGCTCTGTTATACAGCCTAATGATTGACACCAGTTCAGAGATTTCTTTTTGTTACTGTTCAAGAGTTGTCCTATAAATATAATGTTATGTTTTTTTAGGCTAGAACAAATTTTCTTGTAGAACTCTGGATCTGTGATGTCTTCAATGGTGGTATTCATTTTTACTGTGGTTTGGAAGTTGCTATATTGTGTTTTTTGGAAAGTAAAGCCGTGTGTTCTGAATAGCCAGATTGTGTTGTGCGTAAGGTTCCTACCTAGTTCTAGAAAGGGGACCTGTATGCTATTGTAAATTTCTTTGATGGACCAATACATGTTTTGTAGTACTTGGAGTTGATGTCTTGCAATTTCTCCTGAAATGTTTTGTTTGTTGATCCTGGTGCACCAGTTGCTTACATATAACTGTATCTGTCTATCCAAAATATGCATAATACAGTATTCATGCCTGTTGTAGAGCATATTGTTTGGGACTGTATTTGTGAGACCTATATTATGTTTGAAAGTGAAAGCCATCTTGCTTATTAACTGGTTGTATATTTGTCTTGTCAGTATAATATTATTGCATAAGTATTCAATACTAGGCATCAGGACATGATTGATTATATATTGGGCTTGTTTGTCAGTTACTTTTTTCATACCTATTAGTATACGTGTGTTTGCTACTTTCTGTTTTATAAAATATTTTTGGTAGTCTTTCCTTTCTGAACTGTTATACTATACCCCTAGAATTCTGACTGGTATATTGGGAGAGCATCCCTTAATCCTTTGATGGTTCATTATGACTTCTTGCTGAAAGTAAAACCATTGATGATTGTCAGTTGTAATTTTTGGAAATTAATTTTGATGTCATTTATGTAATAAAATTCTTTGGCAGTTATATTACTCTCTGAAGGTCTGCTTTACTATTTGTTATCCATGTTGTGTCATCTATATAAGCACTAACTGTAATGTTTATTGATTTCTTTTTCTATCTGGATTTAAGGTTTGAGCATACTTTTGAGTTTATTATGTAGCCTTTGTACCTTGATGTGACCATGCTCAGTAGTGGGTCATAGAATATCCTTCAGAGTATGGAGGATATGATGTCTCCTTGGTCTATACCATCTCTGATTTAATAATACTCTATTAAGCCATGGCAGGTTAGGACTCTGTTCTCTCTATGCTAGAAGATATTGAGAAGGATTCTACTAATTTGGTTTAATATCTTGATTCTTTGAAGCACTAGTTCTAGCATGTTAAGGTTAACTGAGTCATATACCTTGGACATATCTTGGTTGAGAATCCATGCTTGTTATTTGTATTCTTTTGTATGTTCTATTATGCTACTGAGTATATGAATTGGGTCTTGGATACTGTTTCCTGAAAGGGCTGCCCAATTTAATTCTAATAGTATATTGCTTTCAGTCAGGTATTTGACTAGTCTGTCTATGATGATTTTGGTGAAGATTTTCCTTCCTGCATCCAGCAGTATAATTGGTCTGATGATATCAAGATCATTTGCCCAATCTTTTGCCTTTGTTATTGATATATATGTTCTCTGCTCCATTCTTTTGAAGTGTTTCCTTGCCTAATGATGGTGTTAAAGATTTGTCATAATTTCTTTTTAGTTTTTATTTTTATGTACTTATAAGTTATATAGAAAATTTGGTTTGGTCCTGAAGCAAACTTGGAGCTACATTGTTGAATTGTTGACTTCAGCTCTTGCATAAAGATCTCTTCAGTAAGATTTTTATATATATGCTGTTTAATGTTCGACTTTGGTCTGTATTTTTTTTGCCAGTGTGGATAATTCTCAAGGTTCTAAGTATTTCTGGGTGTGGTCTAGTTGTAGAAATGTTCTCTTGTTCTTTGTTTGATTTTCTCAGGATCTGTGACTATTTGTACTATATCTTTCTGTTGTATGATTAATATATCTAGATATATACGTCTTCTAGGTCTTTCTATGATGCTGTTTATTATTGCTCTCTTGTCATTGTTAAAATATACTTGTCTAATTTGGATTCTTTTCTTTATTGCAATATTCTATTTTCTATAGGTGATGGCTTTGGCTATTGTTTTGTAGACTTTTATATTGTTATGTATTATTTGGATCCATTTGTTAATGAAGGAGATGGGATGGGTGGCTCTAAAATTATTTAAATGTACTGTCATGTTGAGGAGGCTGTTTTGAATATCTTGAGAAATGGTGGGACTGTGTGATATGTTACTCTTGGCTAACTTCTCACTTTTTTTTTTTAGTTATGTTTTAAAGTGCTGAAGTTAGATAATAAGAGGCTTTGTTTCTATATAGTATAGTTGTTATCTATTTTTGCGATATGATTTCTTTCTCTGAATGTGTTGTTTTGCTGCTTTCTGAATAATGTTACAGAAGCTATTCTATATTTGGTCTATTGATTAGTTGTTTCTGCTTATGTTCTGCTATTGAATTTCTTGTTCTATTTATTCATTGAAGTCTTTTCATTGTTTTGATGTTATGAGTTTCCAATTATACCTGTGATTGGGTTTGTGAATCAGTGTTTGCTTAGGTTTGTCTAAACTTCAGACCTTTATTTTGATTATCATAGAAATGTGATTACTTTGTATTAGAGGGTTAGTGCAGTTTTCAATTGTCACACTTCTTGACTACCAAGTTGCCATGGGGTGATCCATATTCAGTCTATTCTGCTACTTCTGGCTTCTCTATTCCAGGTGTACTCTCTGATTACAGGGTTGTGTATTTCGTATATGTACTCCAATCCATTGTTGGTCAGAGTCAGAATTTGTTTATCCGAGAGGATACATTATTTAAGCTTCTCTTTGGGATCGCATCTGTCCATGCTGGATTGAGTATCCCATTTAAGTCACCCATCATGATAAGGTGCCAGCTGTTTACAGTTGCTTCTGTTATTCATTTGTTGAGTGTATTCATTATAGTGATCTTTTCTGCGTCAATATCCTGTATCAGGAAATAGACCCCTATTATTTGCATTTTCTCTTTATATAGGAAAGCTAGATCTATAACAATAAGTCTGCCTGCTAGGGTTTTATATTTGTATATCCATTGCACAATGTTTTTGTTTATCATCATGTTGAGACCTTGGCCTATCACCTGTGATTCTTTGTGTATCCAAATGGTCTGGTATTTTTTATATCTCCAGTGCTTCAAAAGATGATGTGAACTGTTGATTTCTATGGTGACTATAATATCCCAGGCCATTGCTACACAGAAGTTGAACCAGGTATCTCTTTTGTGTGGTTCTGATATATCTTGTATATTAAATATTGAGAGTTTCTAGATGAGTTTGTGCTTGGTGAGACTGTTTTTGGTATTGTGTATCACATTGTGCATTTTACCTATATTGTTTCTGCTAATATTTGTATTTTTGATGTGTATTTCTTGGGAGTTATCATGACTTAGATAGTTTTCTGTGGCAGTGTTTTATGTTTTTAAATCCTTTTGGTCATTGGTTGTAGCTTTATTGGAGTTATTATTACTGCAGTTTTGGTTTCCCATATTTATAAATGTTAATTGTTATGTGTTGTGTTTCCTCTATTATTGGAAATAAAGTTTGAGATAGTACTGACTAGGACAGTCATTGTCCTATCCATGTTACCAATCGATGTTCATAGTTGATGCTATTGCTGTTGAATGTTATGCATCTGACTGTTTATATGTTTCAAATTATTAGTAACCTGGGTTTCTTGTAGGTCTTTATCTATATTGGAGTTGTAATACTCATCCCAGTTTTCTAAGTTAACAATTCTTTTATCTAGTTCTATTACTGCTTCTTTGATATTAGCAATCTCTTCTTTGATTTCTTGTATGTATGGAGGATTTGATATAAAGTTTCTTCTAAACTGCTGGATGTTGGATTGAATCTTATTTTGGATCTGGCTGCTACTGCGTATAAGCCCAGACGTATGGGTTTTGTATTGTTTTTTCTCTCCAGTAGCCTTCTGATGCTTGTGGCTTTGGCAAGTTTGAGGCATATGTATAGTTGGCTGAACCTCTCTGCTTATTCTTGTTTGTAGTTTTGCCATTGTTGTCTTCTTTCTTTGATATGATAGTCTTTTTCCAGGTGCGAGGCAGTGTCACAAATGGCACATAGTTTGGTATCTATTGACTGTCATTTGATGATTGTTTCTCCAAGGGTATAGTTTGTTATGGTGGCTAGCTGCATGTCTTGCTTATTTTCAAAACTAATCACAGCATAGCATTTATGTTTATAGTTCATTCTTTAGGAAATATAGCATGTTTTACTTCTTGTTTGTTGACATATATGCCTCAAGTCGAATACATTTATGTCTGGAGGAAGTTGCCTCTATCTTTCATTTGTTGAAGAGACTATTCTATTCTGAGTGAATCTACTTTGCACTGGATGCTCCAATTTTTCAGAAGCTTGTGTTTGTATATGTTTTTTGTGTACATGATAGTAGATGATTGCCATATACGTTGTGTTACAATTGAAATATTGCTAATCTGATCAAATTTTGCGAAGGTCTATTGTATATTATGAAAGTTTATGTCCAGAGGGATGTTCCAGACTATGACACTGTTTAACTTATTGGTTATATTTCTCATATCTGGCATATGTCCCATTGTTAGATTGTCTGTTTCTGGTAAATGTAGGCTATTGGCACTCTCAGCTAATTGTGAATCACTAAAAAGGGCCGTGATAAATTCCTGATTATCAGATTTCTCACTGCAGGTACTAATCAGGCCTTTGGGAGAGTTCAGAGCCTTGGATATATATGTTATCTTATGGTGTGTGAGTTTGCCAGGAATTTTCTGACCTGTATGCTGAGTTTAGTTCTCTTGTACCTGTATCTCACACTTCTGTCGAAGGGTGACCTTGGGCAAGGTTTGCTGTTTAGGGAATGTGTTTCCGCTTTTTCTTTTATTTTTCGCTTTGTTGGGTTGGGAGGTCCAGTATTTATACTGTTTATTTGTATTCCTGCCAGTTTCTTTTTGGCTGGTCTCAATTTTATTTTTCTGTCATATTTCTGTGTCTGAGTCTGTCAGATCTGTGATTGTTCATGTAGTGTATGGTTGGATCTGGAGTTCTTTTTTGTTTCACAGGGTGTGACTGTACCTGTGTTATTTTTTACTAGATCAGTTTCCTTTTTGAAGCTGTTACTCCAGGATGATGAGCTGGGGGCATCCATTCTTGTGAGGTCTTGAGGGCCACAGGCCTGAAGTTGTTGCATTTGAAGGGAGATGGGTTTCAAATCTGCTGGATTTTTCTTTACCAATCTTGCAATTTTTTTTGCACTGTTGGGCTTCTTTTCTACTGTTGTCTGTTTGGGTGTAGCTCTAGGGCTAATCAGGCCCTTTGCTAGGGCTTCCTCATTATAGTTTGGACAGGAGGTTGTGTTATGGCTGCAAAGTATCTTTCATGAATACATCCTTTCTCATTTTTGTCTAAGGGTCAGTAGTAGTGTTTGATGTGCAACTGATGTACAGGAAAGAGTTGTTGTTTACAATAATCCATTATTTGATATAGACAATAAATATATATATCTCATAGAATAAACTTATCTAGTCTAAAATAAAAAAAACAGTATTAGAGTATAGGATATCCTCCCGAATACTAAACTTATAGAATTGTATCAATCTTTTATCAAATATAGAATAAGTAGCAATATCACTATATTAATATAACAGATATGATAGATTGTAATGAACATCTATACAAAAAAAGAAAACAAAAATAATCTAAGCGACTAATAGAATATTTCCCTTAAAGCAGACTCAGTAAGAGTTTTGACATATAATAAAATATGAATCAAATAAAAGTATATAAACAAATTATAGCAAAACTATAAACTTCCTACCCAATACTACTACATTTAACCTAAAGAGAATCTGTAAACAAGTTCAAACCAAGACCTATTATATACTAAAAAGAAATATTATATCAAAGAAAAAGGTTCATAATTATCAGTTTTAATAGTCAAGAAGACTTAGTTACAGTCATATCAAGATTTTAAACTTAAAGATTTTGACTATGTCTAACAACCAATTAAAACCAACTGTGTGCAATCTGTGATAACTCAGAATATTTTTTTAGTTGCTACCCAATTAAAGAAAAAATAATACAATAGAAGAAATATAATAAAAAACAAATAAATAAGTTTAAAAAATCATATATCAAGTTTAGACTGGTATGTACTATTCTAATTAAAAATTAAGTCAAAACTTTATAACACCATCTAATTAAACTAGGATCTTATATATTGGTGGCCAAATCTGAATAATGTCAAGCAAACAAGATACAAGAAATCAATATATCATGGCTTTTCTTAGAAAAAACTAACAAAAGATCAAAGAAATCAAAGAAAACATTAATATGGATGAAATAATATATACTGTAGCTTGATAATTTCAAAAAACAATCTTCCAGATACTATAAAAATAGAGAATAAAGAAGAAGACCTTTCAAATCAAATTAAAACTCTTATTTTAAAATCAAATGAAAAGGAGAAATCCAATATCTGAACCTAGCAATAATAGATTCATGAATTTATAAATAAAACAAATTAAAAAATATATAAGGCATTTAACACAATCTCAGAACTGATTTCTAGTGTAGCTTCTTTCCCTTCTATAAATCATTAATAAGTAATACATCAGAACATTCTTTATTGAAAAACCTACTATATAACAATCATGATATACAACTCAGAAGGATATCCAAGGATATATTAAAACAAAATTTATAAACTTTATTACTTACTTAAACAATTACATACTATAAGACAATTTCAACAACAATAATATAACTACTTCATTGAGACAGATACTCAATACCCAATATAGAAAACTACAACTATTAATATTTAAGGTCTAATAAATAAATACAAGAAAGAAACTTGATTCAACTTGGGTACATTAAAGGATTGGGATATTATAATAATTAAGATCAATGGTATTTATCAAAAATGAGAATACTGGAAACACTCTCTTTATTATATAATTTGGTTACATAATAATGAATAGTGATCAGGCAAGGAATGAACTTAATGATCAAAAAAGATATAGTAGACTATATTTATAAAAAAATTTTTTTTTAACTGGTTCAGTTTTGTTTTATTATTTTTTCCAAATTATATTTGTACAGAATATATACAATACAGGGATGTATATTCAGTAATAGTAAAACTTGATAATCTATATGCTCTTTGTGGCATATTGCCCTTCCTTTTGGAGGAAGAAACCAATATAAGTACTATCTTATCAAAAAGCTGTGCAACTCCTTCATGGTTATTTCCAGTACAATTTTATTAAGAGCAGACTAGTTATCAAGTCATCAAATTTTCTTTATCCTGGATCCAGTTTTTTGATTCTTTAAAGTGGTCTGCAGATTTTTTCTTTCATTAAGGCCTCTTAATATTTAGGACAGGGCCATTTATTCACTGTTTAGTGTTTGGTTGCTCTGTGTGATCTTTTTTAGAGACATTCTATCAGTCAGTTGGATCTGCTCTTTTTATTGTTAAAGATAACATTATCAATTCAGGATTGTTCTAACTTTGACTTTAGAAATTGATCCAATTACAATCTTCATATGGATTGTCTACTTGCTCAACAGGTTCCCTCTCTGTTAATTAGTAGCCATATTCAGAAATATAAGATAGATGAATGTCATGCCTTCTGTATGATTTGAACTTATATCTTGTGATTTGATCTATGGGGTGCTAACCACTGCACTATCGACCTATAGGTCACTGGATCTGCCTTATTTTATTTAAGATTATACAATATTATTATATAAAGAGCCATACTAAAATATATTATTTATTTATTATTAAATAAAAACTCAATAAATTAATCTTTCAGTTGAAAGGACTTACCTTATGGCTTGTGTCATCCCAATTGTAGGAATCTGATCTGTCAAAGCTAGGCTAGTACTGGAAGAAATTTCAAATATTTAAAAGTTGTCTATTAAGTTTATGAATCTTTGTCTAGTAAAATGGAATATTTTTTTGGGCTGTACATCATTGATTTTAATGAGTTTCCAGCAACCAAAACAAATAGTCATATGACTTTTGTGTATTCTTGGTCTATAATAATTGGAATTGACAAATTTACCTTTACCAAATGATGCGAATAAACATAGCCGGTGATATACACTAAATTTCCCGGTATTTAAT